CAAGCTCGTAAAACACCATAGAAAAATGGTCGAGTGAACTCAGAACAACTTAATTCTATTTTATAACAATTTTAATTGTTTGTAAAAATAATCTGAGGCCATAAAACGAAAAGAAAATTTCAAATCAAATACTTTTTATTTTGTATTTTATTTGGTTAAGACATTAAAACGTGAATAAAATATCAGTACCCTATGAATGCCGATTTAATACCTCATTATAAATTCTATAATATTGTGTTTGGTAATATAAACGAAGCCAAACTTAATTTTACATCTTTTAAATCATAAAAAAATTGTATTCATAAATATTCAAACATCGAATAATCATTTCTAAGCTTTGCATTGAAGTTAAAAGTTATAGAAACGCTATTATACGTCATTGCAGCTTTTTATAATGTGCATAAAAATATAACAGATTAAAATTTTATGACTACGTAGTATTATTTTTTCATCTCGTGTCTCAATCAATCTTAAATATAACCCAACCATGTAGAATTCTGAAATACATTTTTTGCGTTTTCTTTATTGGATTGTAGTTCCAATAAAGAGGTGACATAGAAAATATACGAGAAAAAAAAGAGGGTCTAAAACGAAGACACCGTCAGTTTTGATGAATCGAGTTAATATCTTCACAAAATGAACGAAAGAATAAATGAGACTTAGGGTGGAAAATATCAAAAAAATTAACAAATAACTCCAGTCGTTGAATTACCGCTGTCGATTAATTGGAATGCCATGGGACGGTGTAATTTGCGAACAGGAAAAAAATGTCGGGTGATTATTATGACTGCATATTGTATATTTTTATTAAATAAAAGAAAACTCTCACTAATTAAAAGTAACAAATAGTCGCTCGTTATGAGATTAATTTTTTTTAGATGGTACGTAGAGGGAGGAAAACGTTAAGAATGTAAGTGCAACGGATTATTAAAAATCTGTAATAGGGGTCACGTTTTTGCATAATGAGATCTTGCCCGATTTTGAAGAACAAAACAAGGGTGAAAATATTTTGGTTAAAAAGTCGTTCATTTTGGAATGATTATAATAATTTTTATTTTTAATCCGAATGAATAACAATACTAATTTATTTCAACGAATATTTTAATAATGCGTATTAATAGTAATTTATAAAAAAATAACAACAATCAAACGAATCAATTATATTTTAACACATCAAATACAGATTATAAAAAAATGTCTAATACAAGGTCAATTATATAAACTTATACAAAAAAAATATAGAAACTTCACATTTCTAAAGCGAACCACATAACTGTGTAAAGTCTACAACGAACAAACTCAAACGAATTACAAACTTTTAAGGTTCCGCACGATTTGTATTCATAAGCGTCTGCTGCGCGTTATTTTATTTGCTCAATACTTATTATTATTTTTAACTAAATAGCTTACGGAAGTGAAAGGGCGTATATTTTTTGATTTTACAACTTTAAAGACAACATATAAAAATAAACGACTCCTTCAATTCAAACACACTTGAGCCAAGAGAAAATAAATTGTTTTTCCAATCTCAGTCCGGGCAATTTGTGAAGTTCTTAAGCTCAGTCGCTGTCTCGGTGTGACGATAACGATCCCTCCACATTAAACGATCCTAATTTGTAAAAAAAAAAAAAAAGAACAACCTCTGTCACGCGAACTAAATGTGTTGCCAGTGGGGTTTGTTTCTATTTCTTATGCAAATTTAAATGTTTTTCAATTTGTAAAATAATAATAACAATAACACGATATCACTTCACTGTGCATTTCCATATAAACAGTTGCTGCAGTGTAAAAAGTAAATTGGCACTGAGCACTACTGGGGTGCAATGCAGTAGCCGATGACATAAGTATTGATCTTCCCGATGATCACAGTGCAAAATATACGCGTTATAAACGTATTTAAAACGATAACACGCAATATACGTGTATAATATGTGCAAATGTCATCAGAGCGGTGATCGAGGAGTTGGAGGGAAATGCATTTTGAGATCACACAAAATCAAATTACTAGTGTACGACGTGACGCAAACGTTCGAATGCACTCCGAGCCTATTTTCTATTGAATTTCGTCAAGTGCACAAAAACAAATAGCCGCTACAGACAGAGATACCCCAACGCGAACGGATTACAGCGTGTAAGGCGGATAATGGCAGTATTATTTAAGGCTGTTTTTTTTATCGTCGTGATCGGTCAGACGAATTGAGCCAGGCGGACAATAAAATTTAATCAAAACGAATAAATTTTAGAGAACACTGGCCCGCTTCTGTACCAGCGAGAAAACAAGTCCCCGAGCCCATAAAAAGAACACCTAAATATATTTGTGCCACACGGAGATGCAAATAAACAATAAAAATATGAAACTCGGAACAAACGAACGCGGATTTGCTTAATGTAACAGGCTTAGGGATATTTTTAAGTGTACCGCCCCTATCCCCGGACCCTAATAAACGACTTGCGACTGTTTTGGGCCATGCGTAATCGCCATAACATCAAACGTCCCGGAAAAGAAACAGAATAATTTGGTTTTGTTATGGCAATTCGTGGCAATTTAGTATGCCGTGTAAGACTTATTTATGCTTTCGGTATACGGCACTGTTAAATCTCCTTAAGCTCTCTGAATTGTCGTTATTCGTTTTTTTTCCTTTGAAATGTATCATAAGAAGAGCAACATAACGATGCTAATAGAAAAAATCCGGATTGATGTGTTCCTTCAATCCGCAATACCGCCCACTCCTTTCAACATCGTATCTCAAAATATGAGAGCTTTTGAATTATTCTTGTTATCAGTTATTTTTATTTCCTAAAAATGTACTACATTCCAGCAAAATCATTCAAACAAACCCTAATATATTTAAAAATATTGTTATTCAACTAGATGTCTTGTTTTCAATGTAACAATGAATACGGTTTAAATATAGTAATTGGTCTTAAATATAGGTAGAAACTGTATACTATATTAGTAACTGTAGAAAAAGTGAGATAGATAGACTGAGATATTTGAAATTAAAAAGATTTTACAGTATTATACATGTATAAATTAATTATTTAATTTACTTTAAACCTTCTATAAAATTTAAATTCACATTTTTTTTAATGTCAAGTTTTCTATTAAACATTGTTTAATTTTTTTTTTAATTGATCATAGCTTTGAAAGGATTTTATTGAATTCATTGAAATATTTATGTATAGAACTTAAAAACACAATAGAGTTCTAAGCGAATAAAAATAAAACTAAACTACAAAATAAACAACAATAATTCTGGCAGTTATTTTGCATTTGTACGACGTTTCTAATAAGTTCTGTTTTTCTTTTTTTAGAATGTAATATACAAAAGTCGACTGTTATTAAAATCAAACAAACAGTAAAAAAAAGTTTCCAACAAGTTATTCTAAAAACTTAAATAAAAAACATTTTATTAAATATAATACAAATAATCAAATATATTAATCAATATATTGTAATATATTACAAACAATAAAAAGTTGAGCAATGTAAGTGGATTTTATACTTTGTAAATAAAATATAATCTAAAATTTTATAGAAAAAAGTTGATAATTCCATTTTTTATTTTTAAGTATCGCCTTCCAATATTTAAATATCTATATACATATTCTAAAAGAAAACGTATCCAAGTACAAAAGATATAACTTTATTTTTTTCAATTTATGAAACCTAATAAACACAAAAAAATGTACCCACATGTTACCATTTTATAATATGTAAATTTATGTAGAAATTTATTTAAAATTTTAATACCAGGGACTTATGAGAATTATGGACAGATAACATATTATTCGATAATGTTAACATCATTAGTGGCCAACAATTGGCGGCAGCTTCAAAAACACTGACGGGACATTGGACACCATCTCGAGACACCTGAATACATGTACATGATCGTACGCTGTCCTTAAAAACTCCTTGGTATTAATTTTTAATAACTGTTATAACAAACATTAGAACTTAGTATATGAAATAGCGACACCAGTGTAAAACAATAATTATGTTAACTCATGAGTTCCTGGTACGAAATTTCAGTCTTACAAATGTTGCAACCGTAACTTGTTTAAAAAAAAGTCTCACAAAAATACATACCCATGTGATGATGAGACAACAAGCGTATATTTTACATATGATTTTTATCAATTATTTTCTTACATCGACCCAGCCCACCATAATCGTTTAGCATATCGAACGATTTTTTTTTATATTTATTAAAAATCACTATTTTGGCTCGGATACGAGTACACGTACAGTGGGCAAAAAAAACAACGATCGAGTAGGGATCGCTAATGGATTTTAGCAATAAAAATTCAACATTGCACCGATACCGCACTACAAGAAGGGCAAAAAAAAAAATAAAAGAATACTCGGATCTTGTTTTTTTTGCAAAAGGCGCCGTTCCAAAAAGACTTCTGTTCCGGATCGCGTAACTTGGCCGGTACAACTTGAAAATATATGTTGCACACAGACCATTGCAGTTAATATATACATTGTCATTATTATTATTACCGTACGAGGGAGGTGAACAACAAAAGGATTTTGATACCCGTTTGATACGTACCTCGTACGGGGGATATTAATTTATGTTATCGACGGCGTCTACGCTAAGCATAAGATACGAGTTTTTGCAAATGTCATTTCCTACGTTATTTATTTTACTGACCGTGTCCGAGCAGGTCGTTGCGATTGTCGTCGAACAAATGTTAATCGCAAGTAAAACGAATAAAGCCGGCGTGCTGATCGTATGCCCTCCACGGCAATCCTTTTTAAACGACCACGTCCACTGCGGGATAATCATAATAATTCAGACGATTATCAATTTGCACACGTTGTAATAACAATGTTTCGGAGAAGAATGCGGCGCGCGCCGGCGACGACAATAATTACATTGTCAAATTCCCCGCGCAATAATTTTACGACGCCGTACATTGTTATCAACTTATCAGTGCGTGTGTTTACCGAAAAATGATTTTTGGGGTAGGTACGCGGCAATCGCCTTATTTTTATTGCGACGGACAACAATTGGAATTACGGTAACGGCACCAATAAAAGTCTGATTATTTTTGAAATTTTCAAAAGATTTTACTATGTCATAAAATATTTTAACGATTATTTACGACCGTATTTTTACAGAAAATTACCGAAAAACGCGATTTTTCGTATATCGCTTTTCTGCACCATAATGCATTTGTAATGCATTAAAACAACAAAAGTGTTGGCTTTTTTTATGTAGCGATCCGCCTCCTTACATGGCATTTACCAGAATTTATACCAAATAAATAACAGTCGGTCTCTGGCGGTTTCGTTCGTTCAAAAAAGAAATTGCGACTGTCATAATGATTTCGCATAAAATCCGTAACGCCTCTGCGATCGGGCCAACACAATTAAAACAAACGTACCGTATCGACCACTACCACGTTTATTGTTATTTTTATCGTAGTCCTTTACTCCTTCACCTCCACGACTACTAAAATATATTTATATACATAAAGACAAATAATAAAACATATGAGTATTGTCAATGTGACCTATTAAATTTCTATTAAATGTTCTAAATAGTAATTTATGACATAGCTATCAGTAAGCCTAATTAAATCTACAAGACACTGATCAACAGAGAGAAAAAATCATTAGGCATACGAATTTTGATGATACAAAAAAATAGCCACTTAAATCACTTGGAATTAGGAATTTTTAGCTGAATAACGCGATTAACTCTTAGTAATTTTTAAGTTACTCAAAAAAATACAATTCTTGAGTTGTAAATTTGATAAAAGTACTAAACTATAAACGTACTGCAACATTGTTCTCCTTCGGGTATAATATAAAAGCCCATTTGGGCACTATAACACTCCAAATAACTCGTCCGGACATCTAAAATGTACTCAATCTAAAGATCAACTAACAATTAACTGAGAAAAAAAGGTAAAAATTCAACAAACTTATATTACTTATAATTAACATATACACATAACTTAATATTACTGTGAGCTACCCATTCATGCTAAGCATGTTATTTTCATAATTGAGCAATTATTTATTATACCAAATCAATACTAAAACAAAATTTAATTATAAAATTCCAGATAAGATTTAAATTATGGGACCATAAACGAATTGGTACATGGGACAAATTTTACTGTACCATTCGGTAAAGTTTGAAGATAATTTATATGTCAAACACTTAGAAGTTTATGGACGTTGAGTTTTCGATTTTCCATTCCAAAATATTTGTTTGACATAGATATCCTAGACTGAATCATAAAATCATCCATACTTTATAATAAACTAGTTTATTGAAATATTGGAATAAACTGGTCCACTTCTAACACTTAAGGTATGAGAAAATTCATAAAAAAATTTTATTTTCATTAAACGTTCAATAAACAATTTTTTAAGATTAAACTCATCTAATGAGAAATTTTTAATTTTTTTGTTGATAAAAACCTTTGTTAAATGAAATTTGTTTGTTTAAATAGTGAACTTAATCAAAATTTAATGCTAAAAGCATTACTAATTACATTTAATCTATGGTGGATTTGACTTATCCTCAAAAAATTGAACTAATAATCTAGGCATCTTTTTGCTTATAAAATAAAAAAATTCAAAGAAAAATATTTGTTAAAGGTAGGATCTAGAAGTATATTAAATAGCAAAACTTTGTGTAAATGGAAAGTGTTTTGTACAATTTTAACAGGAAAAATGAATTAATTTCAAGGGCCAGTTTAAATATTTGTTAACAAAATCTAAATAAATAAACTAATAACGACACAAAAATCATGGTAGACAATTGCAGCAACTTACTCAGTACTTGGATGTCCAGTAACTTCATTATGCATAAGACTACTGTGCTATAGCAAAGTGAGCAGTCTATGAAAGGTTGTTTGTCAATACTTGAATCAATAGTATTATACCAAGAGTAATAGCTCAAATATATTCTTATATATACACATTTTAAGTAACAAAATAACAAAAAAAGTTTAACCCAATTATTGATAGGGTATTGTTATTAAAAGTTCATAAGTTTTATCATGAATTAATCAAATTATTTTATTTAATTCAATTAAATTTCTAATTAATGATATAATATTACTAAAATAAAGAAACTTTATTTTTTAACTGGATTTTTATTAAATGTCAAATATACATGGTACATATCCAATTGAATAGTCATAGTACACATAAAATAGGCAGGTGAACAGCTTACAACTTGAGCTTAGTTCTTCTCCAATGACGCCTCTTAGCATTATACCTTAAAAAACAAATATATTGAAAATGGAAAACTAATAATATAAAATTATAATTTAAGTTTTTAATTGAGAACTTGAATAGTATATTCAAAATGCTATTCTCTTGCATAATTATTTATAAAAATCAATTAGATATATAGAAGGTATAAAAAGATATTTTTGAATTTAATTTAAAAAAATAATATAATAAGAAGTCATTAACTAGTCAGTTAACCTAGCTTTCTAAAAATGAATACTTAGATTTATTGACTTTGTAATTATTGTTATGCAATTAAATTGAGTAGATAAAAATTTCAAAATACCTAATAGTATTTCCAGTTCTCATCCGAATCCATTGAGGAATTGGACGGTTTTGTTTCATTTTCTTTGCAAGCTTTTGCTTGATTTTAAAGGACTTCTTCGACGACTACAACAAAAAACACATGTATATTTTGTAACATAATATTAAACGAAAAAAATTTAATACTTCATATTAACTCAGTTTTACTAACCAAAAGTACTTAGGTTAAATGAAAATTAATAAGTTAAAAAATAAAAAGCAACTTACCATTATGACGAGGAGATGTCCAAATACAATAATCAAAAAACCAAATCGGGACACCTAACTTGAGTTGCTTTGAAAAAGGCAATAATCTATACAACAGTCCACGAATATTGAGGTTATGTTGTTAGGAGACACGCGAAATCAAAATTGTAGAAGCATCTATTTATGTGGTCACACTGATCATTTTTAATGATGGCGGTATATTCAATTCAAATTTTAAGGAACTGATTTATTGTAGTTTAATTATCATTGTAAACATTTTTTAACACATATTTAATAATAATAATAAAATATTATCACTACTAAATACAGCGTATTACAAATATTTATTAATTCATTCAAACATTTTCTCATTTATAAAGAGCAAATATTTTATATTAAATTTATTTATATTTAAATATTTATTAGCAGTTTATAATGTATTGGTTTATAAAGTTTACTTCTTGCGTTATGTACGATTTCAAATTCGAATATTATTGTAACATAACCTTATATTGTTGCACTCTCATTCAAATAATAATTATTAGATGATTAAGTAACTAATAATTTAAATAGTATAACAATATTATCCACTTTTATTTAATTATAATGCTAAAGAGTAAATTTGTTAAAATATTCAGCTATAGTCTTTCAGATAATGTCATTAATAACTTCAATAGATTCAGTTTTATTATTTATTGATCTAACCTTTATTACTCATTTTAAGGTAAAAAAATAAAATTTCTAGTGAAGTCTGCTGAAATTATTATCAAAAGATGACAATTTATAAGCAATTTATTAAGAAAAAAACATTTTAATAAATAATATTTAATAGTAAATACAACAACAGAACAATTAAATTGTTCAATTTTAAAAAGCAATTTTTATTAAATTTAAAACTTGATCTTCAGATTCAACAAATAATTTATCCCCATTAGGAAATAACTTTTTAATGACTAATTGGATATCTTGTTTTCCTAAAAAATATAATCATAATATATCAATTACAAGAATAATTATTATAGTAATTATACTATGTATGCAAATATAAATATATTTTTATTTAATAATTTTTACTTTTTATGAAAATAAAAAGTTTTATAGAAAATTTTTGCAGACATGATAACACTTTTTGTTACATTTTTGAAAACTGTTTTGTAAAAATGCACATACATAACTTTTTTTTTTTGTATCACAAGAGTAAAAATAAAATTTTATGATAAATATATCATATTAAATTCAAATCTAACCACATTTTTACAAATTAATATTATTTCATCCAATTAGTATTTTATAATTAAATGATAAAAATTTCAACAATTTCCAATTGAAATTTTTAAGTATTTATAATATATTAAAAATATATCACCTGGATCATTAGTAGATTCTAATAATTTATGAACAACTTCTCTTGCTGTAAATTTAAATAGTTCCTTATTTTTAAATAAATTATTTTTATAATATGGATTTAGATATTTAACAACAGCATTTGATAATTCAAATTTTTTTTGTTTTTCTTTTGGATTTATTGATTTTGAAGATGCAATTTTTAATTTATTATTTTTTTTTTTATCAGTAATGCCTAATGGTACACCAATGCGAATTCCTAATGATTTCTTTTTTTGATCTATTACTGGCATTCTAATATCATCATCACTATCTTCTCCAAAAAGACTTGCCATATTACTTTTAAACGGAGTTATGGTATCAGTCTCAATACATAATATTTTATTAACAGGGGATTGCTTTTGATTATCATTTTGAATTTCTTCTTCCCTCAGTGTATTTTTATTATTTTTTTCAATAGGAGATTTAAGAATTTCTGATAGCTGATCAAAAATTTCATTTACACTAGTAGTTTTTTTTTCTTTATCATTAGCCTTAGTATTTTTAGATAATTTGGGAGACAAAATTAATTTAGAACTATTTTTCTGATTTTTTAGATCATTCAATGAATTTTTTGCATAAATTATATCGTCATTTTTTTTTGAATCATTACAGTTTAACTTTTTTTTTTCTACTTGGTGATTCAAAATAACTTTAATATTATTTTGCAATTTAGTATCGTTTTTTAGTAAATTAGATGCTGTAGTAATTTCAAAATCTTTCTTTTTAACAAAATTACTTAAACTACTTCTGCTAAGCTCAGTAATTTTTTTTTCATTATTATTAATAGACACACTTTTATTAAAGTCATTTAAATTTCCTGCTTCTATTATACTGAGAGGTGTTTCAATAACTTTTACTTCATCATCAGTAGAAATTTCCATATCACTAGTTGAATCAAGTTTAGATCTTTTTTTGACACATTCATTACTATTCTCATTAGTAATATAGTCTTTACTATTAATTTTATTTGTTGGAAAAACAAATGATTTCATTGATTGCTGAGTTAAATAATCTCGTTTTATTCCTCTTTTAATTTTTGGTTCAATTGCTTTATTATCTACATGAATCTGTATCAATTCTTTAGCGGTAACAATGGCTGGAAGATGCACCTCACGAGGAGAATTAGCTTCAATTTGTTTTTTGTCATTTATTGGAGCAGTATAATTCTCAATTTTTTCAAATAAAGATGATTTATTTGTATTTATTTTAATTTCTGATATCTATAAATTTTTAAAAACATTAATATTTGATAAAATAGCTAAAATACTACTTAAGAGATGATTAATTTTGCATAAACGTCTTAATTACTCTTGAAATAATGATATTTTTGAGAAGTTTTTTATAGACTTTATTAGTAAATTTATTTTTAAACTATTAAGTTTTTTTAGGTCATCCTTTATGCCTAATATGTATGTTTACTAATGTAATTTTTTTTGAAATTTTATTTGTTTATTTTAGAACTTCAAAGTTATAATTATTAGAATTATTAAATATAAAGTTTATAAATAAATCATTATCTTTAAACTACAATATTGAGAATTAAGTCAAAGTAAAACTATATTAAAAATATTAATAATTTAAAAAAACTAAAAAGAACACAATATTTAGCTACTTTTATTATAAATATTTTTTATTTAATACACGTTAATCTAACTCTGTTCAGTAAATAAGAAAACAGATTTCTATTGTTCTCATTGTGTATAACAATTGACCTGTTTTCTTACTTACTAAACACTCTCTAAAAAGTTCAATAAAATATTCAAACACTAATTTTAAATTAAAAGAAAACATATCTGTTAATAATTTTTACTAACACTATTTATGTATTAAATCTATTATTACTGTGTATGAGCTATAATATATTAATTAAACCATAAGTTTGATTAAAAGTAACTACCATGGTAAACACTACAGCTTGTAGCTCATTAATTTATTAAATTAAAACAAGAGTTTCTATTAAAAATAATTAAGTGACATTGTTGTAAGATATAAAGAATTTTTCTATAATAACAAATATATAGTCAAGAATAGCCAAATAAAATTATTAAAATTTATATTATTATCTGAGTAATTGAGAAGTTTATGATTAAACAATTATCATGTATGGCATATCAAATTTTAATTAACGATTTCTATAATAATTATTGAAATTTAATATAGTTTATACAAACAGTTTTAGCAATAGTTCTTCGATAAATAGATACAACTTTAGAACTTGTAAAAGCTTCATACTCTAAATTTATGGCGATATTGTGAATATCTTTGGTTGATACTTTTTTAGAACTAGGTCTAGAATAAGAATATGCTTCAACATTTTTTTTTAAATGTTCTTCTAAATATCGTAATAATTCTTCACGTACCTACATAAAATATCAGTTTAAGTAAAATAAAAATCAATATAAATTAATAATTAAAAAAACATAAATCATATTCATATCACACTACTTTTATTTTTTATTTTTAATAACTGTTTTTAATAAATGGAAGAAAAATCATGAAAAATTATGATATTCCCAAAAAGTAGATAAATTAATTTTAATAAATTTTCAGTAATAGAAATGTTCATATAATATAATATAATAATACATTTTTTAAGAATTTCATAAAAAAATGTGAAACTTATTTTATCAAAACAAAACTTTAGTATAGAATCATTGTGAACATTTTTATTTTTAATTCATTAGAATTTCTTAATTACTGTATAATACTAACAGATAATTGAAGACCATTAACTTTAGTGTTTGTAGAAGATGCAGCTCTAACATTAGCATTTTTCACAGCTTCTTCATTTTTTTTTTCAATGTTTGGTTGATTTGAGCGTCTAATTTCAAATTGTCTCTTTATTTCCAATTCCAATTCAATATCTTTTTTGTACCTTTCCTTTTGCCCTTCAGATAAGTAATTTTGGTTATTTCTGTAAAATAAAAGTGATGCAATTTTTTTAATGAATTTTTACTATTTTAAAAGTTTGTGTAATACTCTTTAATAGCTTGTCGTCCTCCTTCATAAAAATCTCCATTAATAAGCTGTTCATTTGAAGCTAATGAGTGTAAATGATTATTTGTTCCATACATAAAAGTATCTAAGTCTAACTTAACAGTTTTTTCATTATAACAAACATCACATCTATCAATACATTTTGGTTTTTCATCACCAAAATAATCAGCAAAAAACTCATGCCTACATCTAAATTAATAAATTATAATATTTTTAGTATAATATTTAAGATTTAAAACATTAATATGGATGTGTTAAATTACTTTATAGTTTCACAATATTGTATCATTTTTAAAAACATATTATAACTTGCTTTGGCTTTTTTTTGCTTATCTTGAGTTTTGGCTTGTGAAATAGAAGATTTTAAAATAAAGTCTAATGAATTTTTTGCTTGTTTCGAATGATAAATTCGACATCTAGCCTGTTTACCATCTCGTCCTGCTCTGCCAGATTCTTGATAATAAGCAGGAATACTTGATGGTATACCCCAATGAACAACAAATCTTACTGTTGCTTTATCAACACCCATTCCAAAACTTATAGTTGCTGTAATAACTTGAAAATGTCCACTCATAAATGCTTCTTGAACAGCAAGTCTTTCTTTATCCTTTAAACCTGAAATGTTATATTGAATAAAACAAAACTGGTAGAAAAAATTGACAGATTTTTAATTAATAGACAAAGCACTTTTGTACTTTGGTGTTGTTATCAACCACTTAAAAAACACAGCAGTTGGGAATTAAGTTAGGGAATTAGTTACCAAATAGCTTGGTAGGAAAGCTCTCACTCGAATAGCAAGCGACTTGGATTAAAATACCAGTCTTCTGGTATATTTTTTGTTTAGTTTCCAAGTTTTTTATAATGCTAATATAATATAATTTTCTTAAAATTATTTTGTTGAATTTTAGTATTTATAAAAGATTAAATTTCAACAAAAGTATCAGAAGAAAAGAATCCTTAATTAAACTAGTAGCCTTACTAGGTGCTTTAACTATTAAATTAAAATCTAAAATGAAAATAACTAATACCAGCATGATAAGGGGCTATAGAAACTCCTCTTCGACTTAATACTGTAGCTATCTCTTCTGTTAATTCTCTCGTTCTACAGTATATAATACCACACGGTTGATTTAACTATATAGGCGTTTTTTTGTACATTTTTAAATATACACATTTAATTAATTCTTAAGAGTGACAATGATAATTTATTTTCTTTAATTTAAATTTAAATTTACCGGTGTAACATTTCCTTCATTTATTAAACATTGGTCAATGAACTCTTTTAAGTGTTGATATGAATTACCAATAGCATCATCAAATATAACATCATAATATAAATTATGTCTAAAGCAAGGTGTAGTAAATTTAGAAACCGGAGTTTTAAGACATAACACTGTAATTATATCTTTAACTACCTACAAAATACATAAAAATTGATAGCAGCAATTACTTTTGTCATGATAAAATTTATTTACTTCTGCATTTGCTGTTGCAGTCAATGCTATCCAAGGAATTTTTTGATATAACTGCCTCAGTTGGCCTAGTTTCAAATAGTCAGGTCTGAAATCATGGCCCCACTGACTTACACAATGAGCTTCATCAACTGCTATAAAAGCTAATTTGTTTTTTCTGACCAAATAATTCAGAAGATTCTAAAAAAATATATATAAATCAAACAGTTTTTGTTTTTGTGTTGTACATTGATTACTTTAAAAAACTCAGTAGCAGCTTGTTCAGGAGTAACATACAATAATCTGGTAGAAACATTCATAGAATAAAGATCACTTAAGACACGTTTTCGTTCTGATGGCGATAATTTTGAATTTATAGTTTCAGCACGAATTCTTAACTGAGTCAAGTGATCTATTTGATCCTAAAACCAACAAACCTCTAACTATTCCATAAAAATATTGAAATTATATTTGCATTACTTTCATTAATGCTATTAAGGGAGAAAAAACTATTGTAACTTTAGGAGAATAAAGCACAGCAGGAAGTTGATAGCACAAAGACTTCCCAGAACCAGTTGGCATAGATATAAAAACATCACTTGTCCCTTTAATAATATGCATAATACAACATAAGTATTTAAATTATAAATGCAATATAAAGTCATAATAAAAGATCTTACGTTCAAGTATTTTGGTAATTGCTACTTTTTGTAACTCGCATTTAAAAGATGAATAATGAAAATAATAGTTTAAGTTTTTAGTAAGAACATTAGAGTCCATTAAAATAGGTTTGTCTTCATTTAAAATATGTTTGTCATAATTCAATTTGTCCATTTTAAAAACCCTTAACAACTCCAAAAATGGGCAATATCTTAAAATATCATGACTTTAGTTATTGATTAAAAAAATTTAATCATTTATTTATAATTTTTAAATTAAGAACACAGATTTTATTTTTACTAAAAAAAAAAGTTAGACATCTTAGAATCATACTAAAAATACATAAAAAGTAAGTTCTAATTTAAATAAATTAAATTTATTTAATATTTGACGCATAATCGGATCATTTATAATATCAAATTTTAATAATAAATTAGTGTAAATCACCAAATACAAGCAATAACGCACAATATTTTATATTATACTCTGGTTATCACAATGGTTGTTTGATAAATAACGTTTAAATTTTATAGAGATAAAATTATTTAAGGAACATCCAATTCGTCTAAAGCCTTTTGTAACAAAATAATAATTGTTTTTATTTTGCACAAAATAATTTTTTAGGTAAAAAAATCTAATTTTTAAAATAAATATTCAATAGAACTATAAAATTATTTTTAATCACATAGAGTAATAAATTAAAAAATTATTAAGATAAAAACATGATTTTGTTTAGTTATCATAAAGTGTACCATTCATTTTGTACGAAATAATCAATAACACCTACCAATTGTTATTACCATTATTATTGTTCACTATATCAGAAAATTGAAAAATTATTGACTCGTATTATCGAACTTGTTACTTAAAGTGTAAAATCAATAAAAACAAAGTAATATTAAAAAAAAAAAATTTTATATAAAATTTTGATTCGCATTGTTTTTATAGAATTATCTTTTTTTTGTAGAATCATGTCGGATAATGAAGAAACACCAAAAGATGTACCATCCACCTCTGAAGATAACACTGAACAAACAAAAGATCAGAATACTACAAGTGAAGGAGATGCTGCTCCTAGTGCTAGTTCTGGTGTTGTAGAAGTTGCTGAAGAAAAAGCATCTGATGACTATATTCGTTTGCGTGTCATCACTAGTGATATGACCAATGAAGTGCATTTCCGTGTTAAATCTGCTACCTCATTAGGACGCCTGAAACGCTCATATTGCAGTAAAATGGGTTTCCAAGTAGAAGAACTTCGGTTCGTTTTTGATGGTCATCGTATTACAGACGATGATACACCAAAATCATTAGGTATGATTAATGATGATGTCATTGAAATTTACCAAGAAAGAACTGGTGGAGTGTAAAAATGAAAATTGATAATGCATAATTTTTTTACGTAATTTACTATTATAAAATAATTTCATTGTTTATACAACATTAATTAAGTATAGTTATAATTAAACAAAATTTTTAGCCAGCTGGAAAAGTATTTCTAATATTTTTAATTTCTAAGACTTATGTTTATCTAATTATTCCTTAGTAATATTATTCAAGTTTTTTAGGTCAGTTTTACTTATTTTTTAATTTCACTTAAGATTTAATTATTGTTATTATTTTTAAAAAAATATCACAATAACAGCATTTTTTTAACATTGAAATTTGTATTAATGTTCTACATGTTTTCTAAAAAAATATTATTCTCCATCTTAATATTTTTAGCATTATGCAGTATGTTGTAATTAAAAAAAATTTTTTGATTTAAAATTTAACTACTTTTTTACATAGATTGATAATAGTTGATCATTTTAGTTGACTATTTCTAGTACAACTACTTTCAAAATTTCTACAAATTGATTAAAAAAATTGTATGTATTCAAAATTAAAATGATAAGATTTAAAAATAAAGTTTTAATTAAATTGATTTATACTATTCTTAATTTTCAACATTTTTTATTTGAAACAAGTAATCAATATCATTGTGATATAAAAACATTATAAATTAATAATAAAATCTACTTAATTCTACTTAAATTATGTAATAATTTTTTGCCTAATCAATTAAGATTATAAGTACAAAAACTTCTAATATATTAATATTTTTGAAAATAATTTTTTTTTATTAATCTAACAATTTATAAATGTCTAATTATTTTATCTTTCCAGTTTAGGTTGTGACCTTTTAATTTAATAATTTAATAATTACCAATTGTGTCTATCATTAATACTTTTAGAAGTTCATAATTTTACATGAATTGTACATACATACATACATTGTAAACTTACATCCGTTTTTATTAATTTATGATATAATTAAAAAATCATCCATTCTAATAATATCATAGCTCTAATTTCTTTATTAAGACTATGGTCAAATAAGATATTATTTAAAAGAACACATCATTTTTAATTAAGAACAGAAGAAAAAAAATTCAAAAATCTATGCTAAAAATAAAATTTTTTGAAATTTTAAATTTTGGTTAGTTTTTAAAGACTTAAAAAATAAAAACATAGTACAGTAGGAACCTAGCATAGGTTAATATCCGACAATTATTAACAATTCTATAATAAAATGTTTTCATATGAAATGTTGAATTTCTGTTAGTTGTTATACATTCTGAAACATATTCAAAAACCAAGTTTAAAAAAATGTTGACATATGTAAGTAGTCCTTTCCAACTCTTACTATACTGATATTTTCAAAAATTATCAAAATGATTAACTTTAGTACACATGATATTTTCGTTGTATTAGTTTTCTAAAAAAATCATGGTAATTCTAAATTGTGAAAAAAATAATCAAAAATAACCATTTTTGACAATATTGATTCTTGAGATATTTATCCAGTAAATAAAATTCAGGATAGTTTTATCAATATAAACAATGTTTTCAACTGAATACAGATAAGGGTTTTTAAAGAAACAGATTAGAAAAAGCTATTGAGAGATGAAAATTTATCAAATAAAACTTATTCTAGTAACATCTAGACTTTTGGTTAAATATGGAATACATAATTTGTATATTAGAATTATTTCTTATGAAGTTAAAATTAAAAAAAAAATTGTTACTTATAAAAATATTCTATTTAATTAAAAAAATAATTTTATAAGACAAATGTTAATATTTAATGATATAATTGGGTTGATACTATTATATTAGTGTACTTCTGAACAATACATTGCATTCAACTTTTACTTCCAATTTAAATTCAATTAATATCATTACATATTTTTAAGAAAAAAATGTATGCATTTTAAACAAGAATAAAGTCAAATGGGCAAGTTAATAAAATATATATTATCATTACTCCAAGGTTTCATACCTTCGGAATAAATGCCAAGATCACCACTGGTATTACATCAATACTAATAAAACTAATATGTTACTTATCAAAAATTTAAATTTTAGCTCAAAACAATACCCTAACTAAGAATTCCTAAAACTACTACTGTAATAGATATTTCTACAATCTTTATGATAATTTAAAAATAATTAATCAAAAACATTAAATATACCGTATTTAATTAAATTCAACTTATATAAATAATAAAAATAAGTATGGTTAAATTGAATTTTGATTTTCATACATATATTAACTTAACTACATTAAAAATACATGTATAATAATACTTAAAAGTGTATTATTATCCATTAAAAAAAAAAATAAGTATGAAAAAAATATTGTAAGCCAATTAGGCCTAATTTAAACAACTAAAAACAATATTTAAAATACAAAAAAAAAAAATTAAATTATAAATGAAAAAAGTTTTAAGCATTTTCAAAAGAAAAATGAAAAACATTTATAATAATTATAATGAATACAAGAGCCATCATTTTAAATTAACAATTATGTTTCATACTTATAATACAATTTTAAGCAAAATATGAATACATATTAACAATATTGCTTAAAATAATAAATCATTTAAATTAGGACCAAACATAATTCCAAAAAGTTAGATAATTAATACAAAAACCAAAATAAAATACGTCAATAAAGATAATAAAAAAAATTGTTATATAAGAAAAAAAGAAAATCCAAAAATAGAAATTCTTATCATTAGATAATACAAACCCCATGAAAAAATTAATTCAATGAGGTTTTAATGAATTATTTTTAATTTATCATTTCTCTTAACAGAGAAAGCAATACCTAACATTTTATTTAACAACACAGAACTATACATTTTAATAACATAAGTAAAACTATGAAATAAGTAGTCCATTTTTAGAAAGAAAAAAAAATGATAAACTAAATCTTTAACAAGAATAAAATTTTGAAAAACTATTATTAAATTATAAGAAACCAATATTTAATTTTTTGTTTTAGTGTCACATATTTTATGAAAATGCAATATGAATGTCATTGATTATTTAGCTGAACATTTTCATATCCTAAATTGTCTTTACTCTTACTCAATGCATGATTTGACTTCTCAGAATCTAATACACAAGTAGGACAATCATTATCTGATAAATTTTCTTCATCTGAAGTATATGGTTCATGTTTTCTTAACCGATTTATGACATCTTTTAACTCTTTTTCAAGACGAATACTTCTATTTTGATATTTTTCACACCAGTGACGAAGATTTGTAAGCTCAGAAACTTCTTGACGTGAACATGACAATTTGTCTCGAATATACCTTAAAATAGATAAAATGATACAAATTTGTACAAATTAGGTAATAAATAAAATCTTACCCTAAAGGATCACTAGGCCTTAAAGGGTCTTGATATATTTCAGCTATAATATTGGTAAATGTCGATATGATTCCTACTTCCTCTAAATATTTTCGAAATTCTTCATGTCGAGTATCACTCTACAATAAAAATTACTAATTCATAAAATTGAATGACTTTTGAGGTTGTTCTTATTTAATGTGGATCAAAATTTTTTTAATTTATCTATAAATATAAACTACAAGGTAAAACAGCAAAACAAATCAAAATTTTAATAAATATAAAAGTTTAGAATATTTTAAATACCTTATGAGTAGGAAAATGTTTGATAAAAATTAATCCATAGAAAAATTCAAGTAATAAATATATTAAAATTTTACATTTTAAAAATGGAAAACTTATCATTAATTAAATGTAATTGAAGTAGTTTTTAATTATGTTACTTTATTAGGATAACTTTTTATGTGGTAAAAACAAAATTTTGAAAAGTTTAAGTTATTATTACATATTTTTAGCCATTTTATCTTTAGCTTTATTAATAAAAATATGAGATTAATTGTATTTACCAAATATCTAAGATTTTAGTAATAATGAGTTTTAGTAATAGTAGTATTTATCTCTCAATTTAAAAGTGGTTAAATACTTTATAAGTTTGTCCCTTAAAATAATACTAATTATATTTTTTAAAGGGCAACATACATAATATGTGTGTTGTATTTAATTAAATATTATTTATTTAGCTTATAAAATAGAAAATGATACAACTTTACAATAATTAATTCTGACGTTTATTAAAATTTTTATTCCTAGGTGTTGGAGGAGTGGTGTCAAAAAATGTCTAATAATAACAATAGTTAAACTACCTTCACCAATATAAATTTAAATAAGCTGATTACTTGTAAAGTACTTAACTAAATTTGTTTACAATCAGTCATTTTCTGAAAAATATCATTTTCTATTCTATAACCTAGTTAAATAATATTTAATTGCATGCAACATACATAATACATGTTTCTGTTAAAAAAAATTAAATTGGTACTTTTATAAGGGACAGATCTAAAAAGTATTTTACCACATATTAACTAAGAAATAAAACTACTCAAAAAGCCAAAAAAATATTTTTAAAATAATTATTATTTTAAAAGAAACTTAGTCATCAATCATATACCAATTACCATGTATTTTTAGGATACACTACAAAAACAATAGTGTTACAGTACCACATATTGGTACAAAATCCAATTTTTGGAATTTGAGTTAGACTCATTACATTAATACATTATCTATCTAATAAAGATTTTAATAATTATTATATTTTCTAATTAACTTTAAGAGTTTTTAAGTAAACTGAACTCTATGATTGTATAACATGAAATTTATCAAAAAATCTTAACAGAAATTATTTAGTATTTAAAAACTTAATAATTAATTAACTTTACCTTTAAACACGAAGTTAAATTACAAATTGAGCAAGAATAAATAAAATGAAAAATTAATACATATACTTAAGCTTTTACATTTAAAATAAATACCTACATATAAATTAATACTATATAAAATAACAATATCATTATAATAAAACATTTATATAAAATATAATTACTTCGCAAGCTGTAATTTTAATACTCATACAAATCTAATAAAAACATCAACTTACTTTATTCGACACACTTCGAGTATAAGTTTGTCGATGAGGGCGTTGTGATGTTTGTTGCGAATCATGGGGCGAATCGTCAACAGTTACATTACTATATGTTGGTTGTCCATGATTGTTATGCTCATCATCTTCTTCAGCATGATATGTTGGCTGTGGTGTAGGTGAATAATGATGAATTGGAGACCATGCTATAGGCGGATATCCAAAATGAGGAGGCATTGGAAAAATAGGTTGACCAGGCATAGGAAACGGTGTAGGCGGTGGTTGCGGGCGGTAAATAGGGACCATTTGTGGCATCAGTTGAAATTGTGGACAATCTGCCATTTTTACTTAATATTGTTCAACGAATAAAACCAAAAATTACTTAAAGAAAAAAAATAGTTTCCGGAAGAACAAAATATTGTGTTAAATAAATAACTATTGATGATTATTAAAGTAAATTAGAGAGTGCAACTTCGTTTACGATGGACTATGAGAAGTTCCGATCGTCAGACATTCAGTATACGTAAACATTAAACAACATAGTTATGAATTGAATTTATTTTAAACCGGGAAAACCATTTTAGTATCACAGATAACCATGGTATATTTCATATTTTACATTTATATAATTATGGTTACAAGTATATTATCGTTATTCGCTTATCTTTTATCAATACCATAAAATTAGATATTATTTCATTCAAAATAAGTTACAGTAATTTTATGATAAACAGATAACAGTTTTACTTCAAATAATAATTTTATTTTTATTCACTTTTAAGCTAAAATGCTTGACATTTAATTTGAAATGATCATTTTCAAACAGTTAAAGGTTCCTGTGTAGGTACATAGAGTAATTAAAATATATTTAAAATGGAGTTATTAGTAGCTGGATTTGACGACATTAAATTTAATGTTGAAATAGCTTTAGATGAACAGCATGGCGCTTTGCCATTACCATTTAACGGAATGGACAGTAAGTATATTTATAATATATTTTTAAGTTAGAGTTCTTCTTTAATTTTATTTAGTGCAAAAGATTATCTAGCTATAACTTATTTATTTATACTTTTTTGTTATTTTCTCGGATGATGAGAAAAAAATAAAATAAAATTATTCAAATATAAACTTGTTATTATTACCAAAAATTTTGATTGCTCTCTAGAATCAATCGCAGCTGTTTGTTCATTTTACCCTAAAGGTGCATGTGCAAAAGGTGCATTGTGTCCAATGAGACATGTACGTGGAGATCGAACTGTTGTTTGTAAACATTGGTTACGAGGTTTATGTAAAAAAGGTGATCAATGTGAATTTTTACATGAATATGATATGACAAAAATGCCAGAATGTTATTTTTATGCTCGATTCAGTAAGATAATTTTGTATTTAACATAAGAATTATTTTCAAATAAATTTCTTGTTAAACTTAATATAAAAATTTCATTGCAATTATATTCATTTTAAAATGACAATTCTAAATTTTTAGATGCATGTCATAATAAAGAATGCCCATTTTTACATATTGATCCAGAAAGTAAACTAAAAGACTGTCCCTGGTATGATCGTGGATTTTGTCGTCATGGTCCACATTGTAAACATAAACATGTACGTCGTGTTTTATGTATGAACTATGTTGCAGGTTTTTGTCCTGATGGTCTTAATTGTAAATTTGTTCAGTAAGTCAGTTTTATTTTCAAATTTATTATGGAAAATTATTATCATTTTTACCTATTAATATTATTTGAAATTAAAGGTTTTCAAATAACACAAAGTATATGGATAAACCATATAAATAATTTTAACAAGGGTAGTTAGTGTAACCAAAGTGTTAAGACATAAACTTTCAAGGAGCCTTTATCAAACTTTAATATTATTATTAAACATATAACTACCAAGTAAAGTACAGAGCGTTACAATTTGAATATCAGAATTTCAAAGTGCTGTAAATCTGTTACCATTTACTGTTAGTTGATGTAAAACTTACCCTTCAGTAAAAAAATGTATCCAGATCTAATTGGTAGTATGCTTATTTTTGTAACTATATTTTAAACAAAGTTATGGCATTATAAAGTTTTATTACATTTACTAATATGATAAAAAAAAACAGCATTTTCAATGCAAATTTCCCTTAATGTTGGTTTAGATCAGTACTGCGACTATTAAGCTAGTAGCGTGTATGCAGATATTACCCTCATTCTTTCAACATAATTTAAATAATAGTGAGCTTCCCTTTTAATGTAGTCTCAGGACCTACTTGGTTTTTGTAGCAAAGACATGTAAAACCATAACACTACAACCATTGAATATGAAGAAAATAAAACAAGAACAATTCTGTACTTTAAACTACCATTCTTAATAAGTTTTATAAGGGATAATAGAATATTAATGAATATTAAGTATTCTTATAAATGTTGTTTTGAATAAATATATATGTTATGAAGGACCTATAAAATAAAAATTTCCCTTAGAAAAATAGTTGCGTAAAACAACACATGAAAACCTCAATGTTCATTTTTCTATATTCTGTATAATCATTATTTCAATTCATACAGATATATTGAAATGTTATGTAATTTTTAATTATGTTAAACAAAAATAGTCTTATTTCCAAAAATTATTTTCTTAACGGTAGGGTGTTTTTTTTTTTAATTCCATAAAATCAAATTATTAACTAGTAACAATGTTTTTCTAATTTAATTATGTCAAATATCATAATCAATATGGCTAGCCACTTAAATAAAAAATTATTATAAATACAATAGTTAGCAGTGACTAAAAATTAAACAAATAATTGATAAAATCTAATGTGTAATTGTGTTTTTATATTGGCTTACTAATATTTAATATATGAATCTTACTGGTAGTAAAATTATGCTTTTTATATTCTAAACAATATCTACAATCAATTTAACATAAATTATATAAATTGTTTTATTTTATTTAGTGTGATATGTATCTTAATTTTCACTGTAAAATAAAAAAAAAAATTATTACAGTCCAAGATTTGAGTTGCCTGCCTATCAACAACATGATGCAAATCAAAAAGATGCTAAAAAACTTGTTGTAATTTGTCATTTTTGTGGTGATACTGGTCATAAAGCCATGTATTGCCATAAAATGGTATCAGACTTAGTAAAAATTAAACCAGAGTTGGAAAATAATGATCAACCACAGGTCAATAATCAACCAGGATTTCAAAGAAAATTAAAACCCTTAGAAGAAGTTACTTGCTATAAAGTATTTATAATTTTTTTTTATTAGAGAATTATTTTTACAAAATAAATATACATGTAAAAGTTTCTTTTTTTTTTTTAGTGTGGGTTCAAAGGTCATTATGCTAATAAATGTCCTAAAGGTCATTTAGCCTTTTTGTCATTACAACAAAACCAAGCCATTCAAAATAATAACCAAGGTGTATGACTGACATTTATTTAATTGTAACTTAAAATTTAATAAATGTGTTCTTCATCATTTTCATTATGATTAATGTTAATTAAAAAAATATTTAATAATTAATTCATTTTAAAGTGTAATAATTGTATTAAAAAAATTTAACTTGTTATATTTTTTTAATTTTATATCTATTAAGTAAAAATTTTAAAAATCAATGTATAGTATGATTCAATATGTAATATTTGTTCATGTACAATGTTTAAAATGGACTTCACTTCTTCTGTCCACACTTTCAAAAGTTACCTATGAATAATTTAACTATTAAATATGTCATAATCTCATCTTATATATAGAACACACAATTTACAGCTATATAATTTATTGAAATTTTTAACAATACAGTTTTTACACTCTGATAGTATTTATATGAGATAACGATGGATAAAACACCAGCTTCAATGTTTAAATAGAAGTTTTTGATATAAGTAATTAATTATAATAAGTATTATTTATTATAGTAATGTAATGGCTAAATAGTTAATGTTACGTTATTGTTTTACAATAGAAGAATTATTTGTAAGATATTGTTTTTTTTTATACTTAAGCCTTACTAATGGCCAGTAATACTACTTTGTATTAAATACATACAAATTTACTAGTTTTTCATTTTATAAAAACTTTTAACATTATAATGATTATTGACGTTTAAATTGAGGACTAAAGCTATTTTCCCAAAGCTGATATGTTAACTTTAGTAAATATAGTAACTTATCAAGAGAACAGAATGAATTTCAATTGTTTCTTATGCAAAACGTCATTTTTGCAAAAAATAAAAGTTTATCAAAAAAAAAATTAGTTAAACTCATCAACATCATTTATTAAAGGTAATGCCTTATCTTTAAAGCTACTCCTTTATGTTTGACGCCAAATTCTTCAGTAAAAACTAGTGAAACTAGAAAAAATAACTATTATTAAAAATGCTATTGTTAAAAAAAATTTAGAAAAGAATAAAATTGTCAAATATCAAAGATGGTCAAGGTAATGGAAATAATTAACTCAAGTTAAGTTAAGTATGAACAATGTACATAAATTAACAGTTAAAAGTTACCAAGTTATAAATTTAACTAGTTAAATTAAAAAATAAGTCGAATTTTTTTTTAACTCAACTAGTTTAAAAAAAGTTTATTTCATCTTAAATTAATTTTTCAGCTAAAATATCTTAAATTTAGAATAATTTTTTATTGGTCGGTGATGCGAGGGAAAGTTAAAAATCGTTTTTCAACTTTTAAAACTGAATAGGAAGAAAATATTAATGACGGTTGCACTATTTTATCATTAAAACTAGTGATTCAAAAAAAAATCAGTCATTTTTGAAAAAATTCAGAAAACTATATTTATTGTTATATAAATATAATATTTGGGATAGATGAAAATTGGATTAACTGTTATTTTAACTAATTAATTGAAAAAAGATAAGTTATTTTAACAATAAATTAAATTAGTTAAAAAAATTATTAGAAAAATAATTAACTAGTTGTTATAATACATACACCACTCATTATTCAATAGTCTATATGTTATTGTCTATTAGTCATCAAATTAAGTATATATTATTCATGTCAATACTTTAAACTATTCCAAGAAATATGTCTAAAAATACATTGATATAAATCTACTGTAATAATTATAAGAAATTCTTTAGTTGTGACAAATTATCTATTTTAAATAAAATAATATGTAATAAATAACACAAATTGAGTAATAAACAGATAATAGTAAAAAGTCGAGACACTTCTTGCATAGATAGATGAATTAAATTTAATATAAAAGGGCATAAAAACAGTCAATCTCTCTCGCTACTACTTCACCTTATGAATTTTTAACGAATGAAATAAGTGGCTTGACAAAACACGATTTTACATAGAAAATTGAAGTAATTCATTTTTTCAACATTAGTCCTGATATCATTAAGGTAAATTCATATTTTACAAAAGATCCATAAGGTTTAAAGTTAAGTATAATGAAAACATAAATTAAGTAGGAAACCAGAAAAAATAAAGTGATCTCTAGAATAAAATATTGTCTAAATAAATAAAGAGAATCAATAACGTTTGTACGAAGATAGCCAGCCTAGTCTAATCTTTGAGTAGGTTACCTGTGTAGACAATACTAATAAAGACTCTTGCGAAGATAGAGAACCCACTTGTGGTTCCTATACTACTCGAGGTATTTATTGACTCGATTCACAGTCAGCACAAGCCTAGATAAATACTGGTACAAGTGGCGTTGATGATGACCTTTGTGTGATAATTAATCACAATAATTTCTATTTCAAATTATTATTATATTAATAAATTTTCAAACATCACTTTGCTTTTCTATATTTTACATCTTCTCATAAACCCTCATACTTATGTCCCGAGAGGAAATTATATTATATCAATTTTTATTCAATAAATATTATAGTAACTCAATTATTCTCATGCTCATACAATACCAACAAATAACAATAATTTTTAATAAATTATTCTTCAATCATATTAATAAAATTATTGTTTTAATTAATTTCCTTTTTTTTTTTGAGTTACTATATAGTTAAGTTGAAAAGTTAAAAAAAAAATAACTTTTCAACTAGTTAATACCCACCATTGTCAAATATGATGCAGCTGATAAAGTTTCAGCAATTTTTATTCTGTGGTTTTAGTTAAAAATCATACATTGTGATGGCAATTGATTATAAAATGGAAAAACAATTTTTAATATATTAAGTGCTAAATACAAAAACAAAATCATCGGGCCAAATACGTTATTATTAAAATGCAGTTTATAACAGTAATAATGCAACTATCCAACACGTCGGAAACGTTTGGCCATATTATGTGAATGAACAATATCGTAACATCTCAAATATTTAATCATCAATAATATTTTTTTAACATACTTATTAGTTATATTAATTATTCTTTATTATACAGTATTATTTTATTTTTGTTTTAATTTCAATATTTAAAAAAGGTAATTTTTTTTTATTTTGAAAGCTATTTGACATTATTTTATAGAAAAAGTTTGAGTACAAAAAATTATTAATTAAAATACCGAGGTACAAGCTCAACATAAAAAAGGAAGAACCATTTAGTCTTACAAAAATAAAGGGAAAAATAAAGATTCAAGTAAGGTTTTAGCATTCAATAATTGAACAAAAAGTTACAATGAAGCAAATGCGATCCAGGAAAAATTATATCATGGAATCAAGGAGTCCGTAATGACAACTTCAGCAAATTATGGTTTTATTATATTTTGTCTTTATAATGTGCTTATATAATTTTCATCTGATTGTTTGTGGGTTATTATAGTTATTTTATTACTTTTTTCCTGTTTAAAACCATTAAGATAAATTAGTTTTAACGATAATTGCATACCTGTAAAGTTATGTTAACTTTTAGCTTCGATGCGAAGCTGAGAAGGTAATGGTTTTACTATGATGTGTTTTTTTTGTGTCTGTTACCCACTTTTTCTCAGCTCTCACCGAACCGATTTCTTTCAATGATACGTCAAAAGATCACAAATCGTATCTAGTCGAAGACATTACCCTCAAAAATTGAAAAAATTCCCTCGTTCCCTGTAAATGGGGGAAATCTCCAAAAAAATTACAAATTAAAAAATCGCTAATTTTCGAAATTTTTAAAATTTATTTTACTTAAAATTGTCATAACTTTTTTAAAAATAACCAAAACAATATAATTAAGGAAATAGGAGTTGATGTTGCTTTTATAATTATGCACCAATTTCTTAGGATTTAACACTATCTATAGATTTGCATCGAAGCGTTTTTTATGATAGTGATTTTAATCACTGTCAGATATCATTATACTTGATCCAACTATGCCACGACCCCCTGTACTGGGGATTTTTTTTTGTATACTATTAAATTCTATAATGTGTTTTCTTGAAAAATAGTAAGTGCAAATTACACTTATTTAAGTAATGGTTTAAAATTATTGAATTCATAAAAAAAAAAACGATAGCACAGTGGGATCGTGGCACAATATATACGTGGGATAATTGGGACAAGTATAGATGATATCTAATAGTGATTTCAATCACTATCATAAAAAACGCTTCGATGCAAATCTATAGATAGTGTTAAATCCTAAGAAATTGGTGCATAATTACAAAAGCAACATCAACTCCTATTTCCTTAATTATATCCTTATTAGTAGTTCTTAGATTTAAATGTATCATTTATAAATAATATTTTGTATAGCAATTAAATATAGTATATAATTAATATTTAATAATTTAATATTGTAATTTTTATGGAGAAATTATAAAAAATGATATAGTAGTATATTTTGTTACTTTTATGGTAAACATTTAAAAAAATTAAAAAGCTAAATGAAATACTTTATGCATTTTTTTTTACTGATAAATAAATACATTGGTCTACAAGTAATTTTCATCAGAATCAAATATATACTTTTCTACATCAACTTTTCGCACTGTTTTCAAATCTGAAATTATACTTTTTCTATCACTTCTAAGTTTTGATATTATTACTAATTATCAAATAATGAGTATTTACATATGAAAAATAATTAAAAACAATGTTTTTAAATTATTACTGATTTTGATAATATGTTAAAAATAATCAGTACAAAATATAATTGTACATATTTTTTTGGTTTTTTTAAATTTATTTATTTAATGTTTATAATAATAAAAATCTAAAAATAATTCCCATAACTTTAGCTCAACTTGCAAGTTTGAAATTGACATCATAACGTAGACGATTTTATGAGAATTATAAAAATTATATTTTTAAGATTAATATGCAGTCAAGAAATTTCTATTTATAGTAAATTTATCAATAAAGCTCGATATTAAATTGAATTTTTATCGTAATAGATCACTTAAAAAGAAAACATAGTAATCATTTCTAAGTAAAGTTAATTTTTGAAAGCTTATAATAAAAATAAGTTGAATTTATTACCAGGAAGACAAACTAAAATTTTTTTTTTATATTTTGAAGTATATTACACAAGGTTTAATTTAAGATGTATATATATATATGTCAGTATTTCCGGAACATTTTCAAAAATTAAATTGAAAAGGTTATCAATTTGAAATCATAACATATGATATGCAATTATTGATGTTATTCACCTGTAGTAATATCTATAACATTTACTTAGATATTACTACAGATACATCATGATTTATTTAAAAAATTTGTTAACACATAAATGTAAATTTAAAATATATTACTGAAAATGGGCTTAGTAAAGAAAAAATGAAAAGCTTCTATACTCTAAGGTCATTGGTATTCAAATATCAGCGAGGCGTTCTGGTTTATGGGTGTTAATGGCACACATGACCCTCTTGAATACGCTACTGAACTAATGTAATTTTAATGATCTCCATTATTATATCATAGGTTTTGTCAGAACACGATAATTGGTTGAATTTTAACTCGTATTAATTGATCAACCTTAAGATTATATTTTTATATAGTTACATCAGTTATACATTCATGTTAAAACACAAAATCTAACGTTTTATTAAATTGATTTAATTATCATTTTGATGAATTATTATTTTCTCGTAAGCAATTTTCACTATGTTAATATTAATACTATTATAAATTAATAATATTATAATACAAGTTTTATTTTGTTATTTTATGCACTATCACATAAATTAAATACTTAATTTTTTGTTTTTACATATTCTACATAGAAAATAAATAAATAAATATAACATTTCAACGTATAATAACTATCATTTACATAAAGTTTCTTAACATTTGAATATTATCTTAATTTTTGTTATTGCAAATTTATGAGTTATAGATTCCACAAAAAATGGAAAGTAACTGTACATTTACCTATAAATATAAAACAATAATCAATAAGCAATATGTCATAGGGCAAACACAATACCAGGATGTTAAGTTAAAATTATAATTACAAATTTTAGCCCATTATTACTACTGCTTCTTGTTTTAAACTACTATTAATATACTTACGTACTTAAATAAATAATAAGTAATTTTCATGATTATGTTTATAAAATAACATTTAAATATTATTGAATAATAATAATTAACACCTTGTTTAAATAAACAAAATAGCTTTCAAAATATCTTTTAGATAAAAGTTTTATAATTTCTCAACAGTTATATTTATATTACAATGTAATTCCTTAAAATATAATTTTAAATAAACAAAAATTTTATTTTGAAATTAAAATAATTATATGTTATGTACAAACATTGAATTATTTAAACCATCGTTTAAAAAAATATTATAAGATCAAAATAATAAATAATTAAATTTTATTAATAGTCGTCTAAAAATTGTTCTTAGAAGAAAAAGTCATCATCACATATTAGCAATATTGATTAGAAATAGTTAGTTTTTGTTATATTATTAGAGAAAAAAATTCATTACATCCACCACCCTGGATTTGTCTATTTGATATGAAATGGTAAAATATTTTCTTAACAATTGGCGTATACTTTGATTTCTCATTGATGATTTCAAGTATGGTACGATTAAGTTCATACATATCTTTTGGAATTAATTTACATACCATTAATAGTGTAATAATTTTTCCACAATCTTTGCTGTTCGCATACGATAATATCAGTAACCATTGAACATAAATCGTTTTCGAGTACAATATGTCTTCAATGAATTTTAATATGTTATAGTTTAAGTTTTACATGTAATTGAAGAGTGGGTGTTGTATATTAATTGTATTCATTACATGTTAATTTAATTTAATATTTACTCTTTTTAAACATTTTTTTTCATAATTGTAACATTTCACACTCGTTTGACTGTTTATTGTGAAGCTATAAATAAGTTATTGTTTTGTTTTACTTATTATACCACTTTAAAAATTTCAAATTTAATAATTACACAGAATACTATGTTGCCAAATAGGGGTAGATCAATTGAAACGGATTTAAATGGTAAATATATATAATACGCTGACGCTTACGTTAAGTGATAACTCACACTCGTTTTTATCCATATTTCAAAGTTATGTAGCAAAATCAAAAATACATGATTTTTTTCCAAATTAGTTTTGTACGATATTTTAAGTGCATTTTTAAATAATTAAAAACAAAAATTAGCATCCCCTTGATCTTGAAAAACATAAAAAATGAACTTTTCATTTTTTTACAAATTATTCCTAAACGAGAATAGAACTTGGGAACAAAACAAAAGATCACCATTAAATAGTATTTTTCAAGAGCTTTAAAACCTCTTATTATTATTATTATTTTGAAGTCAAAATTGACTAAGATAGAGACATTTTATTGGAAAAACACTTATATTTTTATTTTTCGTATCTTCGAAAATATTAGGAATGAAAATAAATGATAAAGAAGAAAAATATTTGTTTTTGTATGTAAAATAAAAAAATATATTTTTTTGAAAATCTTAATTTCCAAAAAAAAATAAAAAGAGGTATTGAAGCTCTTAAAAAATACTATCTAATGGTTTTATTGTTTTTTCCAAGAGCCATTCTTGTTTAAGAACAATTTGAAAATATATATACATTAATTATCTTAGTATTTAACTATTCAAATGTATAAATTATATATATCAATGTACACTAGAAGAACTGTTGTACAAAACCAATATGGAAAAATTCATGCTTTTTTTATTTTACTATATAATTTTGAAATATGGGTAAAAGTGAGCGTGGATTGTCAACTTCATGTGATTGACAGTGTATATATATTATTTTAAGCTAAGATGTCATATTTTTTTAACAAAACTATCGATAACAAATCACATATTAGGTAAAAAATATAGATCTGCTAAATATGAAGAAGCCTTTCGACGGTCATTGGAGGATCCAGAAGGATTTTGGGGTGAAGTTGGTTCCATAGTCGACTGGCACAAACCTTGGGATAAAGTTCTTGATAATAGTGCACAACCATTAACTGATTGGTATACATATTTAAATTTATTCTTTACTGTATAGAATAATTTTTTGGATTTAATTTTTTCTTTGGTATTAAGACAAAAGTAGCATTTTTCTTATATTTGAATTCTTAGAGCTCCAAATATTTGTCTAATGTATAAATAATATTTTTAAGAGGGTGTGCATAGAAAAATTGTCTTATATTGTTTTGATCAGTGAACTAAAATTTCCTTATGTAATATTTTTTAAAAATTGGACTATACAAAAACTTTTGGTAAGATATTAGAAAAATATAGAGAATCTGTATAAAATTTTTTGAAAAGATTAATGGTAACTCTACTTAAGCTAATGCTTTTAGCTTCGATAGTTATAATATCAATACAATATAATAATAATATAATATAATAATATAATAATAGAATTAAAAATCTTAAGTCCTCTAAAAGGAAATAATGAAGCGAATATTAAAGGCGGATCTCTATCTTGTTCCTTGAAGTCAGATTATTAGATGATGAAAGATAATACTAAATAGGATAAAAATGAATGTTATGGATAATGAAGAAAGCGAGGATAACTCCCAAAGATAAATTATCGTGTATTGTATTACTGAGAACAGAATTTGAGGCGTAAGAAGGTAAAATGCTGTGATAAAATCTAAATTTAGAATATAATATTCATTAAATAGCAAAATAAGGTAGAGATAATAATCTATATAAAAATATATTTTTTTCATTTTGTTAAACTATATTTGTATAATCAGGTTTCAAACGTGATCATTTGAAAATTTCATAAAAATTTGGAATATTTTAAATCGAGAAATTAAGTGAAATATAGTTGTAGCACCAAGACGATATGCCATTTTCGCCATCAAAGATACTTTAAATTTGTAGGAAATTTAAACACGGAAAATAGTTTTTTTTTAATTTTTATTTGTGCACTATTGACTTTTTTATATCACACCTAAATAAATACAAGCACCAGTTTCAGAAAATTAGTGATAATAGTATTTTGTAAAAATTCATTAATTATATAAAAACCTATATTTGATTAATAAGTTAGAAATGCAAACTTAAAGAATGGTATAAATAGTAGTTTTTTGACCTCTCATTAAAAAACATTATTTCTTAGCAACTTTAAATGAAGGTCAAACGTTATTAATAAATATCAAAATATTAATCAAATGTTTTTTAAAATTTACTAAAACAAAATATTACCAATTATTTATTATAAATATGTTATTTGAAATTTCTGTAATAATTATTTAATTGAAATTAAGAAACAATAATATATAATAAAATATAGTTTTTATCTTAGAAAATAAATGTGGAGTTATATATCATGCATACATATGCTTAGGTGTATGTAACCTTGCTCCCTATATCAAGTAGTGCTTGACAAGCATCCCCAACAATGTTTTACTGAAAGGTTAAAGATTTTTTATATTTTACCACTTAAATCCTGTACATTAGGAGCAGAAATTGCATCACTCAGTGAAGATATCAAACTAATTCATGTTATTACTTCTGTATAAATAAAATAAGAAATCCTCAAATGTTACTTATAAAATTGAGTGCGATTTAAATTATAATATACTTATATAGAGTATTAAATTTTAATTTAAAACTAAATAATTTTTTTGTATCAAATACAATATTAATACAACTTTAGTGGGATAATAAAATACAAATGTTATTTTGTAACAAAAAAGTTCGCAACAGATATAACTTAAAAAAAATTCAATTTATGAAAAAAGATTAGATGAACTTTTAAATTTATCAATTTCTTTAAAATTCCTTTTCGTAAATATAAAAAGTTCAACAATTTTATTCTTTATTACTTAATAATATACAGTTTCCTTATTAATTTATTCTATTATGCGAAAAGCGTAAAATGATACTTTTTTTGAGCGGAATTGAAACTGATAATCAAACTCCCTATAAGTTATATTTTTAAGATAGTTAATTTTTCATTATACAAATAAAAAATTAAAAAACATAAAAATGACGTTACATAATTTCATTTTAATATTTAAATGAATTATTTTATGTAATTAAAAATGTTTTTACATTAAAAACTATGTTTTACAGGTTTGTAGGAGGTCAATTAAATGCTTCTTATAATGCTATTGATCGTCACATAAAAGCTGGTAAAGGAAATAAAATAGCGCTAATTCATGATAGTCCAGTAACTAAATCAGTGACGAAAATAACTTATTCAGAACTTCATAAAAAGGTTTATCTAATAACTTTACAAAATGAAAATATAGACATTTTTACGTAACTTTTTTAGGTTTCATTGCTAGCCGGTGCTCTAGCTGACTTAGGTGTAGAAAAAGGAGACCGAGTTCTTATTTATATGCCACTAATACCTGAAGCAATTATTTCTATGTTAGCTACTGTTCGATTAGGAGCTATTCACTCGGTTGTTTTTGGAGGTATTACATAAAGTCACTTTTTTTAAATTAAATTAAATTAATGCATTTTTAGGATTTGCTGCACGGGAATTATGTGCGAGAATTAACCACGCTACTCCGAAGATTATATTAGCTGCAAATTGTGGCATTGAACCAAACAAAATAGTAATGTAAATAAAACCACAACTAAAAATAAAATGGATTACAGATAAATATTTTTAATTTAATTTTGATTTTTAACATAGGTATAAGGACATACTGAATGAAGCATTAAAACTATCGACAGAAAAACCTAAGAATTGTATTATTTACCAAAGACTTAATATGGAACCTTCTCCATTAACTCCGGGTGTCGATATACTGTGGTCGGATGCCTTAGCAGCAGCTAAGCCTCATCCATGTGTTCCAGTTGAAGCTAATCATCCTTTATATATACTGTATACATCAGGCACAACTGGTAAAAAATCATTAGTATCTATATAATTAACAATTTCATTACACTTGTTATAGTAATTTAAATTTAAATCAATATATTAATACAAGAAGAATCCAAAACTAATTTATATAGGCAAACATTTTGTGATAGTAATTTTAAATTTAAATATATAATGGAATTATGAAAAATAATTTTTATATGAATTCACTAAACAATTTCGATGTTAATTTCAAATTAAGTTTAGATTTTTTTATCACATCTAAGATTTTCTAAAAAGTCTTACTCAACGTACCAAATATTTAAGTGTCCGAATAACTTACAGTCGGCAGTTTGACTTATTACTAATACACTTATTAATAAGTAAGTAAATGAAAAATAAAAAAAAGGATACGTCTTAAACAGATTGAAGTAATAAAAACTTTTTTTATACTTACTGAATACCCCCTATATGTTAGTCATAGAAAAATTTATTTATGAAAGCATAATAAATTATGCCTTCATAATAATGATGTGTAAAAAGAGCTCACAAATATTTTCAATAAAATATTAGTTATAACCTGATTTAAGGGAGGGATGAGCACGTGTCCCTTAAGCTTTCTCTCATAAATATTCTCCTAATATTATAATCAAAAGTTGAGCTTTTTATTTTAAATGACACTCAAACTCAACTTTAAAGATCCAAGAATGGGTTAAACTTGATGGAATAGTCTCAAATTTTCCACAAATATTATTAAAAATCATGAAATTATTTTAACAAAGTTAAAAAAGAAATTTTGTAACCGTAAAAATTACAATATTAAATTATTGAATATCAATTTCATACTAAATTTAATTACTATTATTATTATTATTTATTTATATATTATAATTATAAATCAAAAAACTAATCGGGATAAAAATAAGGAAACAAGAGTTATTGTTGCTTTTGAACTAATCGATCAATTTCTTAAAATTAAACACTATCTACAAATTTGCACCGAAGCGTTTCATATGATAGTGATTTTAAACACTGTCAGATATCATCTATACATGTCCGAACTATGCCATGTCCATACTGTACCGCGACCCCAAGTTGTATCGTTTTTTATTAAAATTTTGATAATATTTCGTGATGTCTGCGTCTTTAAACCATAACCAAATGAAAGATCTTAAAATTTACTTTAAGATTAAAAAGAGAAAAGTATCCTACAATTTTTCTTCTTTGTGTAATAAGTGGCCAAAGACAAATTTGTAAAATTTACGTTATAATTTATCAATTTTTTTCTAGTCTTTCATTTTAAATTATTGCATGAATTCGGTTTGTGCTATTAATCACTGTCCAATTTTAATCTATTCTATAGTCTAACTTGCAGTCTCTCTATTATGCACGGTCCAAATTATACTAGATTTTTACATTTAACTGTTACAAAAAAAGAAATCCCAAAATGAGAAACTGTTTTAGTTTCTCATAGTAAGTTAGTTGGTAGTAAGTTTTTTACTACCAAAATCAGGGATGTATTGTACTTTTTTTGTTTAATTATGGTCTCACGTTTGTAAAAAATTGATAATGAAATTATCTTTACAATCAAGAATAACTTTGTTTAGAAGTTAATTTTACCATCGTCTCAATTAAAACTATATCATCTTAATTATTAGATAAACCAAAAGGAATTGTTCGCCCAACTGGGGGTCATATAGCCACTTTATGTTGGACTATGAGTTGCATTTATGGTATGACGGGTGATGATGTTTGGTGGACAGCATCTGATATGGGTTGGGTAGTTGGTCATTCATACATTTGCTATGGACCATTATGTGCTGGGTTAACGTCAGTAATGTATGAAGGCAAACCAGATAGAACTCCTGATCCAGGACAATATTTTAGGTAAACATTGCATATTATATTACGTACAAGTATAAAGTATTAAGAATACAGTAAAATTTTAGAGTAATCCAAGATCATAAAGTAAATGGCCTATTTACGGCACCGACGGCTTTGAGAGTCATCAAAAGAGAAGATCCAAATTTAGAATACGGGAGTAAATATGATACTAAATCGTAAGCCGTTAAATAATTTGTTGTTTAGTAAAAATAAAACTGCTTATGATATTAGGTATTAAATTTTATTGATAATAATACCAAATTCTTTCTAGACTTAGAAATTTATTTGTTGCCGGGGAGCATTGCGATCACGAAACACTGTCGTGGGCCGGAAAAGCTCTTAACGTAAGTTATAATAATTTGAAAATAAATGTAAATTTATTAAAAATATAATCATAATATTTATTTAATTATATTATTTACATTTTATCTCTTCTTTAAAATTAAAAAAATATAGAGTTTTTTATTTGGTAAAACTCGAGTTAAAATTGATTATTTAATTGGCTATAATACAAGTTTGAAAAATTAATTTAATGATTTTAAGATTGAAGACACAGATATTGTATCTCTCGGGAATCATAAATGTATCATAATAATTACTATTATTTTTAATCTTATAGGTTCCAGTGCTTAATCATTGGTGGCAAACTGAAACAGGGCATTCAATTACAGCCACATGTATTGGCCTTGGTCATAATTTGAAACCTCCCGTTTTTTCAGCAGGAATGCCGTTTCCTGGTTATGATGGTAATAAATTATTTAAGTAAATAAATGCTTAATTTGCAAAAAAGAAATAAGAATATATTAAAATTAATTTTTTAAGTGAGAATTTTAAAGAAAGATGGTAGTCCATGTCAGCTGCTAGAATTGGGTCGTATAGTAGTTAAACTACCATTGCCACCAGGAGTAATGTCGTGCTTATACAAAGCGCCAGAAAGATTTCTTAACACATATTTCAGTAACTACATTGTATGAACTTTAACCCAATTTATAAAATGCTATTTATAATTATAAATTAATAAATAGGAAATAGGAATACAGAAATAACCAACTAAACATCAAATTTTAATTTCCTAAAATATATTTTGTAAAATAGACACAACTATACTTAAAATATATCACTTTTAGGGTTATTATGACACAATGGATGCTGGATATGTTGATGCAAATGGTTATATATACGTCACAGCTAGAGATGATGATGTTATAAATGTTGCCGGACACAGGCTCTCTACATCTGCTTTGGAGGATGTCATTTTATCACATCCCGATGTAGGTGATGCAGCTGTATTTGGTGTTCCAGAAACCACCAAAGGAGAAATACCTTTATGTTTATATATTAAAAATAAAAGTATGAATATTAAATCATATACAGAATGTCTCACCGTGGTCTGACATTTTTAATAACTTTTAATTCAGCAAATATTATGCATTACTTTTTTGAAATAATTTTCATAGTTTTTGATTACGTTACAAAAGCATATATTTTGTTATTTGTCTCTAATTAAAAAAAATATGAATAAAATTTTAAAATTTTTTTCGACATTTCAAAATAGTAATTTTTAAACTCTTTTCTTACAAATTTAATGGGTTGATAATAATATAGGATAACATAAAATGGGTATTTAAGCCAGGTAGGCACATCTTATAGTCGTCTATATTTATAATTCATATTCCACCCGCAATATATTGAATATCGATAGTTTATTTAATTTTATAGAGTATTCAGTAAATAAGAAAATGGGTTTCTGTTATTCTCATTGTTTATAACAATTAACTTGTTTCCTTACTTATTGGACACCTCTATACATAATTAAATTACATTTTATTACTTGGGCAAAAGCACATTATCATTTTTTTTCTTTAGTTATTATTACCGAATCAATTCATAACTATACAAAATGTCTCAAAACTAACTGACAAGGCTTATAATGTTTATTATAATTATCATTTTGTTAAAAAAAAATTTTATAATTATTAACTTTTTATACTACTTAAAAGAATATTATTTATTTTTAGTCTTTTTCTTATAAACATTTTTAATTGGTGGTGATAATTTAGGACAAGTATTTTATTACACGACTGAATATAAAATGCGGAATATATATGCACCAGTACGAGCTATTACCACCCTCCTTCCACATAAACTCTATGTACTAAAATGCTTGTAACCCAATAAGTACTTACCCTAAAATTTCCATCTACTCATCAATTTTTTTGTAAGCAAAAGACTAAATAATGGCTATTTTGAAAAAATTAAAGAATAAAAAAATTTTATTATTATTTCATTTTTCTTATTAAAGACAAATAATGAGATATATATTGTTTTATTTGAGGTATCAGAACTTGGCAGTATCCTGTATAATAAAAACATTAATGAGATATAACGTTTTATAAATTTAAAATAAAATTATATTACATTTATTATAAAATTATGTCAATTAACAAAAAAAAAAATATATAATAATCCTAGTTTGTACCAAAAGTGAAACCGAAATAAATAAAGAAATAGTGCAAAATGTCAGAGATCTTATAGGACCAATTGCATCATTTTATTTATGCGCAGCTGTACCAGGTTTGCCTAGAACACGATCTGGTAAAACAGCTAGAAAGTCTTTATCAAATTTGGCTAGTGGAAAACGTGTCTTAGTAAGTTATGTTACCTTCTATTTTTAAAATAATTTAAATATAGAAAGAAATTGTAAAAACTCTACAATTAATTAATGCAACTAATATAACTTTTATTTTAAATTAGATTTCAAGTACGATTGAAGATCCCACTGTGTATGTAGATATAAAAAAAGTGCTCCAATCATTAGGCTATGCAAAAGATGCTCCAGACCCTGAATTAGCTAAATAGAAATATATTTGAACAACTATAGATAAATTATAATAAATAGTTGAGAACCATTTTACGATAATATTTAAAAATTTATTTGTTCATCAAAATGACAAAAGAATATTAAGTTTTTATAAGGTATATAGTTGCATAATAATTGCTCTAATCATTTAATGTTAAAAAAAATATTGCCAAAAAGCTAACTAATTCAATTAACTATTATCTATTATATAGAATTATATAGCAAGCTACTGAAATAAAATTGTACAATATTATAAATAAGTGTAGTTTGAGAACTTATAAGATAAATTGTTAGTACTATAAAATATATTTATATATTATTATAGTTGTATTATAAATAAAATTTGTGTATCTTTTAAATATAAATTATATATACTTAAAAGTTGAAAGAATGAAATAAATTATATTAATAAGTAATATAAACTGTGCTTAATACAATAAGGGGAGTAGTTTGAAATTAACTAATGCATTTAAATATTTTTTTTACTTCTTAGATAATATTGATAGAAAATGTGGGCCGTGTCTGAAAACTAAAATTCGAAATAAATTATTTCAAAATGTCGATCTATCATAAGTTTTATTATATTTTAAGCTTTTATATCAAGTTAATTTCACAGATGTAGCTCATATATTTAGATAACAATTTGTTATTATTTATGTTATTATTATCTCTTACACATAGAATGTGATAACTTTAGTAAAATTAAATATGTATTTTTTAATTGTAACTTTTTTGGGGATTTTATTATTAAGATCTGGAAATATATTCATTTATTAATTTTGTTAAGTTATTCCAAACACATTAACAGCCAGTATATATTATAAATAATTGATTTGGAATTATAGTTATGATTTATACCTAAAAATTCCATTTAAAACTAGAATAGAATTGATTAAATAAGTGCTTACAAATGTTTAGACCTATATCTCAAGTTTAACTAACTATACTTGGTCTTCATAGTTGATTTTAACAGTTATTTTACAAAAATTAAAGCTGAACTCTTTCCTATATCCTATTTTGCTTTAACCTATAATTATAATTTTTTTATATTTTTTTAATTTTTAAAAAAATTAATTTATTTGTTTTTAGCACTACTAAAAACTGATATAATTGCGGTTAATTGTCAAAAAAGGAGAAATAGTCAACATTTTGTTTTAGCCACAATATTTTTCTAAAAATTCTTTACATTTCCATGTCATTCTCTTTAATTCTAAAAATAAATCTATTTAGCATAAATTATGTGACTCAATCTAAAAAATTTTGACCCCGAAAAAAATGGTTTAGATTAGATTTCATGTATCATCCTAAAAAGAACCTTTTCGAGTTTCAATGTTTAGACATTGTAACACCAGTGTTAGTAGGATAGTCTTGGGGGGTAGTAGTTGTAAACCCACATCCTAAACAATTAACGATGTTTAAACATTTTAGCAATACAATGTAAATAATTGTTGATAATCTTTTTTTTTTTACTAACTATAAGGTAAAATTTGTTCAAAAATACTTTTTTGTACTGTAGTTTTTTTTCAAACAGTCAATCAATAAACAATAAATAAAAGTTAATGAACTAAATACCTATAATTTTTACAATGACAAACTAACTTCATTGATTTGTTTTTAAATACGTTAATACGCCACAGCAGCAAAATGGTATTAGTGTGTGAGATCCACAAAAAAAATGTAATACTAAAATTCATTTTTTTTTAAATGGATAATGAAAAATCATCTTATATATAATTACCTCCCAATTTTTGCCTTTTGAGTAGTATTTATATGCAAAATATTATAACTTTATTTTGTACCTCAGTACTCCACATGTTTTTGCTATTCTAGTTTTTTATTATTTTATTTCAATAGCTCGACTATAAATAAAATTATATCTAATGGATACCAAGTATGTATCTAGTAGAGGTAAATAAGAAGTTTAAAATTATCTCTTAAAATTTCGTTTTATGGGATAATTTACTATAAAAGGTTTAATTTACTACATTACTTATAAATTATACTAATGTTAAATGGTATGATCCACTACAAAAACAAGAAAATTTAATTTATACAATTTTTAAAAAGGAAATAATAATTATTATTTTAAGTAGGGTAAAATAGAGGGGGCGTGGAAAATGGTGAAGAAGGCGTGATCTCGTGATGGTGAGGTTAAGGGGTGTCTCTTTCAGGATTAACACTGTCGTGCTGCGCTACAGTGTCGGTGTGATAGGGCTCTGCGGGGCTACGAAATGTCGACAGAAGCGCAGCTGCCCTAGCTCGAGGAATCGGGCGCGTCCTCAGGTTGTAGGTAGAGAAACGGCCTGCAGATATGCAGGTTAGCAGCGAAATAGAAAGTCAAATCATTTGGGCTGACGAATAAGAGGTCGCGGACAGTGAGCCGCTCAAATACTTGTTAACCCTATAGATATACAGGGTAACAGTGAAATAAGCATTTATGGACGAATAAGCGATAGAGTTTGGTTGTGAACGGAGATAAATGGCAACGCAACCAGTGATGCTAGACGCTCACTTGCCAGAGGGATAGGCTATGAGGGCAACCCCCTTACATCATTACTACCAATGACAATGGAACAGATGGGTTTAAAGGTTACTACATTAGGGGATTCGGATGCCCCAGTACCGGTGGTTGGTGGGGGTGTACCCACCAGGTGTCGTTATAAACGAATACACGACAAATGCAGGAGTGTTGAGGCAGGCTCCTGCAGCTAACCACGGGGTTGTGTTATGTTTTTTGTCTTGTGAGTTATTTTGCCAACCCTCCCTAACGGTTCCCACTCTGAGATCCGGTTAACGGGAGGGTGCCCACCACGTTGCGAATCAGCTCTTGATTAATTTCAGGCTGATTCACAACGTGGTGGTGTGAGTTATAGACGGCGTGAGTCGCCCTGAAGTAATGCCTCACGGCAGTTACAGAGCGGCCCACAATAATGCCGGTCGTGTAAAAAAAAAAAGGGGGTTTAGGGGTGTTTAGGTCATTCAAAATGGCAATTTTTAAAACTATAGTGCGCATATGCATTATTACTCGATTCCAAGGGTGGGGGAGGTGATTCATACGTAGCTCTTCTCCTCTTATGGCACCATCTACTAGAGGATAGGGTAAACTAAAACTCCATGTTAACTGATAACGTCAACTGATAAACGTACGTTTAATATTATACGTACGCATTACATTGAATAGTGCTCGTTAAGTAGCAGCCACCGCCACCACACGTGTCCTTGACTATTCCTTTTACATATTTACTTAATATTAACGCTACAAGGTTTTTCTCCTCCTTCAACATATCCTAAAAAGGGAGATTAATGAAACTTAACATAACCTAACCTAATGCAATGGGAGAGGTGGATATGAAACCCAACGTAAACTACCAACGTTTTCTAAGAATTTTAATATTGGCTACCAGACGCTTAGGTAGGCATATTTTAAACATCAAATATATCACCGTTTAGTAATAATCACTGCCGTATGCATTTTATAAGAAAAATGGCAACCTTGTCGTTTTTCATGCTACGCATTTATTTATTTTACTATATAACCGATTAAATGCTCTTTATTCTATCACATACGTCTATCATTGACGTTAACGTACAGTTAATCTTTTTAAAACTGGAAATTTATTATTCTAATATTTTACTCCCGCAAATAAAAAATCATGAACAAGCAATCGTCTTCTGTACCGGATAAGTAGATTTTTACAACTTTTACATACTTTTAAATCTCTTAAATTTTAAAGTAAATTCAATACCGAATTTACTTTTTATTTTTTTTTAATATTTCAATAAATAAATAATTTATTTTTCTTTTTATTAAAATTATCTCGTTTAGATCTCTTTCGTCATGTCAGGCGGCTAAGCGTAGTAAGGCTAATAACAGCGTGGTTAGGTTGAAAAGGTTACGTATGCAAGTGATGGATACTCGTGATTTCACCGAGATCGATTTCGCATTGGTGAGGGGGGCCGTTTGGTTTTATCCAAAGAACGTGGAAAATTTCGCGAGCTATCGGGATTTTCTGGGCGCCGTTAAACCCGAGCTAGTCGCCAAACTCGCCGAAATTGTCGGTAACCGTTCGATCAAGTACAATCTGAAATTGGAAACTTCATACCATATACCGCGATCGAAAGCACCGCTCAAGAACCGTGCCTTGAAGACACGCGCTAGGGCATTGCTATTCGATACGAATATCAAGTGTGCAGTCGAAGAAGATCTTGAAGTTATGCTCGCCGAGGAAGACGCGTACTCGGGAAAGGGTAGCGGCTTTACTCAATCGCATATTGATGGTCTTATGCTTAGCGTATACAAGTATACGCCCCTCGCAAGATCATCGTATATTCCTGTCCCACCAGAAATTAATCAGAAAAAAGAAATGATCAATCCACAGAATAACGATCAGTCTTGTTTCAAGTGGGCCATTTTGGCGAGTCACGTCAAGGGTGACCACATATATTGCGTAGATCGAAAAAGTTTTATCGAGTACCACAGGTATGATTTCACAGGGTTGACGTTTCCCACAACTGTCCCAAATTAAAATATTTGAGCGACGAAACCCTAACGTGTCTTCAGCGTGTATGGCTTGGAACAGAACGACGTTAAGATGAAGTAGTCAATGTATCCGCTAAGAGTCGCCGACTAAGAACAGCAGAATCATTTTGACCTGTTGTATATTGGTGACTCTGAAAAGTCACATTACGCATACATTTCCGATTTTTTGAGGCTCGATCGCAGCCAAAAAAACAAACACCAAGGCCGTTTATACACTTGCAGACGTTGCTTCGCCAGCTTTGATGATCAGCCTAAAAACAATATTCTTCGAGGTAGTCAAGCGTTGGAGCAACACAAGTGATATGCTGCAAAAATAAACCAATTTTACCCGTTATGCCAGCAGAGGGTAGTAAGGTCGAATTTGACGCGTGTGTAAAGACGCAACGGTTATCGTTCGTCATTTACGAGGATTTTGAGGCATTGCTGGAGCAAACAGACGATCGTATGGGTGCCTATACTAGGACTGCGCACACATACCATCCCATGAGCTACGGGTTTATGGTGAAAACATCGGACGATGTGTCCTCCGAGGTAATTGTATATATTATTAATTCAAGAAATATAGTAGAAATCCTAAATTAAAATATTAATAACTAATGATAACTAATGACCTGTATAAAATTCATGTTTCTTACTAATAACTCACAATAAAACAATTTTCAAGGAAAGTAAACTAACTTGTGAAAAAGTGGAATCTAGAATATTTTCAAAGAAGGATCG